CTAAAAATTGAAGCCTAATCGTTTGACTAGTTGATCCAGGTCAGGGGGACAAAATTCTGAAAGAGAGAGAGAGAGAGAGAGAGAGAGAGAGAAAGTGGGGTTTAGGGGTTAACTTTTTGGTCCGTGTCAAAACACTTCGTCGCCGATAGGACAGAAAACATGGAGATGATGGTTCCCCACAAAGGGATACCTTGTTAGTGCCTCACTTTTTACATTGATCATCCCTGGGGTGAGAGACCCTTCACCGCCCTGAAATCACCGCCAAGTTCAGTATCGCAGCAAAAAAAAACGATAAGAGCTACGAGTCCTAGAACGAGCTCTGACGAAGTCATGGAAGTCAGAACACTCGGAAATAAGAATTTGTTGATGGTTACGATAATCTAAGTTACTGATCAGTAGTGATACAAAATTGACAATTAACGACAAAGCTTAATCTCGGTTTTGTGAAATTAATCTCTCTACTTTTTCATCGCGCTTTTTGGTTGAAATCTCCATCGATTTTGATGATCATATCTAAGTTTGCGAGGAGCGCACTTGTGAGAATGTTTTTCAAGGGCACTTTTTGCCGATATGCAACTAATTGTTTCGACTTTCGATACGAAAGTAGCGGAATATTTGTGCTCGTGGTGGGTTTTTTTTCTTCAGACAAAATTCGACTTTTTAACTAGCCATTTTTGACAAAAAATTTTTACATCATTCGAAAGCTATTGTTGTCTTGAGCTTAAATTTGAAAAGTTATTTCACCTGTAACCATTTTTCGTAAAGTTTTTTTTTCATTTTTATTTTATTACAACTACTTTTTTAAGGTTTTTACTGCTCCATAGATCTTAAAAGGTATTCGGAACACTCAGGGCTTCGCCCTGATACGAGCAGTCTTGTTTTCTATTTATTCTGTGCTGATTTTGTATTAAACTGCGATAGCATATTTTTCTTGCGATAGCATATTATGTTTGTCAGGGTCTAATGAAATTTAGTCAATTCTACCTCTCGAGTAGTACCCAGAATAACAGCTGGGTAAAAAAACTCCCACCTTGTTTACTGTAATAATATTTGTTCATAAAATCACCGATTTATTTTAAAAATGTCATTTTTTGAAGTGAGAATCAAAGAAAAAGCGCCAACTCATTCTTGATATTACAAAAAAATGACGAAAACAAAC